CTGAATAATAACTCGATCGCCGAACAATTATTTTCCGTTTGTGCTCCTGTTGGCGATGGTTCGTTGCACAACTTTTCAGCTGAACAATTGAACGGATCCGGTGCGATTGACTTTTCCGCCTATGCAGGGAAGGTATTTGCAAAATTTCCTGGGAGGGAAAATGAAATTGGGATGCGGAAAAATTGGCGATAAGGGACTTCGCATTATTTGTTTATCCATATCAGGTTGTGCTAATTGTCAACGTCGCCACTTTCTGAGGCTTGACGTATCAATACCACGCCCTAAACGCTCTGCAAGAAAAATATGCCGGCTATCTGCAAATCCTCGGATTTCCTTGCAATCAATTCGGTTATGTAAGTTCTCCTGTTGATTCTTCACTGTTGAGAAACTATGGTTTCGATTCTTGAATATCTAAAAATAATAATAATGAGTTCAATTTTCTCTGCCTTGCCCAATTTCTCTTTTTTTTTTTTGGGCATGAGTCAAAATTCAGCAACAAAAAAATTAATGCTGGACAAAAGAGAATCTAGGCTAACCAAATATAAGCATATTCTTGAGCTCTTGATTTTTTGACCAGTGGACAACCAACATTTGGCAATGTAATTGTCGTGCAAAAATAGCGATACAAATTTACAGGCGTTTGAAATCGACATGTACTGTACTTTCTCAAATGCAAGTATATTGTCCATGCAAAAGCAGAATTATGAATAAAATGTATCAATTATTCGGCTTCTTCTTTCGGCTTTCACTCTGTTGGCCAAATTTTGCAAATATTTTTTGATACTGTATTTATCTTATCAGATCCCAAGTAATGCTTCTTAATAATTTTTAGCAAGAGCCCGGTGCAAATGCCACAGAGATTTTCAACGGCATCGCCTACGTCCGACCCGGAAATGGTTTTGTGCCAAATTTTCCGTTGTTCAACAAGATTAGAGTGAACGGAGAAAAAGAAGAGCCTCTTTACACGTTTTTGAAGGTATTAATCGATGCTTCATGGAATTTAGTTTTTAAAATTGAGAAACCCGCGCTTGAAAAAAAAAAAGAAAAGAAAAATCGTCAGGCATCTATCTAGAAAAACTCAAGATGTCTCATTTTTGAAAACAACGCCATATTTACTGCAGTATCATGCGCATTTTTTCTTTTGAATTAAGATGAGTAAAAATCAGCGTGCAAAATGTTTTGTTAGCTACAAAATTTTAAAAGTATTCCGGGGAAATGTTTAAATCTTCGGTAGCTGTTCGACAGAAAAATTAATACAAAGGAATTAACGAAGCTGAAGTATGGCAGGTGATTTTGTAGAACAACAAGATTCAAAGACCAATAGAATTCAGATGAAATTTACCTGTATGCCATGAATTCTTTCAATATTAGAGTTTTTCAGGAAATTCCAAGCGTGGTACGCTTGGGGATACATAAAAAAAAATGTGGGTTCAAAATCCAGGTGTGTGCAATATTTGAAGGCAATCGAATAATTGCACGGATTTTCAATCGTAAAATAAATTTTCCAGCTTTCCGAAATATTTCACGGATGCTTGTGTATAAGAACAATATACGAGTATCTGGGACAACATCTGGTTTTAAGTACAGCACTGTACTACAAATTGTGAATTGCAGATACGTTAAAGATCAGCAGTTGAATTTGTATTTAAATCTAAATTCAGATTTCTATAGAGTGTATTCTTGCAGTGTTGCGATTCTAAGGGGACTCAAAAGTTGGGTGCGCGTCTTAGTTGGGAATGCATATTTTTTTTGCAAATTTTAGGCTTGAAGCTGGAAAGGTGCGAATATTATTTGATGGCGCGTGGTACTGGTGTAAATATGGTAGTCTTCGTAATACTGTCCTCATAAAATCCCACATTCAGTTATTTTCAATAACATCTACCTATTCAGCTCGTGATGCATTTCTTTTCTTTTCATTTTAACCTCAGACATTTTTCTCAAAATTTTGAGCATAAAAATGTAGGTGCGCGTCTTTTATTTTTGTAAATGGCGCACGGTACTTGAGTGCAGTAAATATTGTACTCTTATGTGTCATAGTTTTTGATTTCATAGAATATTTTTTAATTTCATAAAATATTTAATTTCATAAAATAGTTTTTAATTTCATAAAATAGTTTTTTATTATTTTTAAATAGTTTTTTATTATTTTTTCAATTGTGTCATAGTTTTTGATTTCATAGAATATTTTTTAATTTCATAAAATATTTAATTTCATAAAATAGTTTTTAATTTCATAAAATAGTTTTTTATTATTTTTAAATAGTTTTTTATTATTTTTTCAATAGTTTTTTATTTTTTTAATAGTTTTTTATGTTCTTTTAAATAGTTATTTTATTTTTTAAAATAAGTTTTTTATTTTTTAAAATAAGTTTTTTATTTTTTAAAATAGGTTTTTATTTTTTTTCAATAGCTTTTAATTTCATAAAATAGTTTGTAATTTCATAAAATAGTTTGTAGTTTCATAAAATATTTTTTAATTTCATGAAATATTTTTTAATTTCATAAAATAGTTTTTAATTTCATAAAATTCATTAATCAATTATTTTTTAAGTCTCAGTGTCTGTCTGCTGACACAGCCTTCAGGGCGAAACACAGGCTGGATTGGGACTTGTTTTCCATCTCGGACATTCGTTGGAACTTCGAAAAATTTCTGCTGGGACCCGATGGAAAACCATACAAGCGATTTTCCGCTGTTGTGACACCCGAGGACATTACTGAGCACATTGACGAGCTTTTGGTGAAATGCAATTTAGCACCTCACGTGGAAACACTTTCGTAATTAGTGTTACTTTCACTAACCGAAATCTCGGGTTTTTAAATTAAACTTAAAATTTTTTTTTTTACCTGCCTGCATGTACGAAAAGAAAGTGACGTTGATGAGGTTGTTGCTGAAAAGTTCCGTAAAAAGGGGGTCTGCAACAATTGATGGAAATGGCGCTTGTGAGGTCACCTGATTTTTTATTTAGGGTGGGGTGACCTTGCTGGTCATTGATTCGTCAGTTCTTTTTGCGTATGCAGCGGAATTACTGTATTGAACTCCTGTATGGGTTTTCAGAAAGCGCGATTTATTTTTGCAATGTCGTTCAATTCTATAGAGGTTCGAATTTCAGCTTCGGGGACAGATGAGTCGAGAATGGATTTTTGTATTGACTGGTACTCTATTTATTTTCCCGAATATCACAATGATCAATTCAAGTCACTGCACTGCTATATGCAATTGAATTCATTCCAAAACTGGAACATGGAAATGTACTGAACCTGAGCATCAGAAAAATTGAGTTCTTGATTTGAAGAAATATCGATAATCAGGACCAGGAAATTTACCAAAGACATGCTTGCCTTATTAAACCACAGCTTAGAATAAAGTATAGTCTATGCCAATGGGAAAATTATCTAGTAAATATGAGAGCTTGGAGTGATTTAGCTCCATAGATTGCTGATTTTTAAACTATTATTTTGAGGCAATTTAAAATATTTCAAGAGGCTACAAAACCAGCCTAGTTTGGAAGCTGATTTTCCTCTGCAGATGATTGTCCCATTTGCGCAGGATCAAATATTTCTAACGTTGTTATAAACGAATCATCCAATTATTTTGAAATTTGCGCGTGACACACCAAACATGATATTCTGTACACCATAGTTTCATTATTCTGGCAAATTTTCAGGTGTGACGTTTTACTCACCTTTTGAGATCCAATCTGGGTCCTTTCAAAGGTGAAGAACAGTAGTCACAAAACTTTTAGACTTCTTTATTGCGCGTACACAATAGGTTTAAGACCCTAAAATTTCTCTGTTGGTACGTTTTAAAAAAAAACTTACTGTTATGCCTAATGGAAAGTTTATTACCAACCTCAACTCTTGAAAACTATGCAGTATGTGTTTTCTGCCTGCTTTTCAGGTCAAAAGATTTCTTTCAGTTTAGAATGAACTATGCTAAGAATTTTAGATGCTGTGGTGGTATATTTTAAGTCAGTGCACACAACAGGCAGCTTTGAATGAATGCTTGGACATGAATGCTAAAGAGAATAATGCAACACACAAGTTTAAAGGGATGCAATGGCCAGACAGTGGGTTGCTTGACTTGCTGGATGGTCTGTCCACATAAAAAGGGAACATATATAAACACACACACATGCAAGAGAGCAGCAGCCTGTATGGCTTGCTGACCTTGAGGCAGGATTTTGTATGTGCATGATTTTGCATGCACAAATTCCACTTATTTCATAGCTCAGGCTGGGGGAGACCAGAGAAAGGTGGAACAGAGAAGAAAAGAGGAATACAAACAAAAACCCCCAGGCAAGGGCACCGTTAGCCTGGGGAATCTTACTACTTACCTAACCAAAATTCCCTTCACTGCGAATATTGAACCAAAACAAGGGAACACAGAGAGCAGGAGTCAGCACAAACTGAGCTCATGTAATTTTGGATTTCACATGAAACATCATCAAACCCTTATAAAAAATTTGCATTTTGAACTACAGTAGATTTATTTAATCCCTCGCGGAACTGGGACAACCCGTAGTTTTCTTTCTGAAGCCTCAGACTACTACAAAGAGACACATGCATATAAATTATCCTAAATTTGTAGTGGCTAATCAAATTTCGAGAGAAAAAAGCTTTTTTTTTCCTTTCAAAAAATAGGAAGGAGATGTTAGTCTTGTTACTTTCAGGTTTACAGTTCTCTTCTTTTTTCTTAGCAGCATAATTCATGTCCAATAGACCAAAACGCAAATCATCATAGCAATGTTTCGTTGACTCTTGAAAAGAAAAAATATATATTGCCTTTCAAGCTTATCGCAGTCTTAACTTGAAAATTGAGAAGCCTCGGGGAAAATATCCGAGACATCTGGACGTTCCTGTATTTTCCCCAAGAAATTCGCTGCAGACGAGATAATCGAAGTTTGAAAAAATTGAATTTATTTTGCGCTTTTGAAAATGTAGCCTGGAAAAGTTTGTCTCTGCACTTTCCGAGTGCTATTTTTTATTAGCATAACATATTAATTGGCCAAAAATGAGGTTACCATGGCAATTTGCATTTTATTGATAAAGAAAAACTAGATTGCACGTTCGTGAAGCTTATCGCAGTCTATTGTGATGAAAATTGAGAAGCCTTCGACAATTTTTCGGACACCTGGAAGCTTGTCTACTTGACGATAAGTTTTCCCAAGACATTTTGCTACAGTGCTGATATCGGAACAAATGCTGATTGGTGAGCAGTATTATCTGATGCATAGGGAAACCAAATTCCATATTTAAACGACTGAAAACTTTCGCGTACATTTAATACGGTGTTCTCTGTCGTGCAACAGTGATCGGAAAGTTAACAGAACGATTTAAAAATCCCGTAGAATGTATTTAATTTGGCGTGCATTGAGTTGATGATACTTGTGCCATGTAAACCAGGAAGTGTTTTTTTTTTTTTAATGCAGCCTTCATATCTAATCCCATTTAATCACGCCTATGACGCAACAGCCTCTTTTTTTTCTTCTCTGGTTCAGATTGTCCATACAGTATCCCCAGCAATGGATATACAGGTGAACCTCTCTAAGTCAAATTCCTCCCTAAGTCGAATTTTTTTCAAGTCCCTGTCTGAATTCCCTTAGTATCAATACATTAACCAACCTACCTACCTCCAAGTCTTTTTTTTATAAAACCTCTGTAAGTCCTTAAAAGACTCCGGAAGACCAGTAATAAAAGAACTTTATACTTTCTATTTTACTAACTTTGTTTATTAAACTACGTAGAACTTTCCTTAAATTTCACAAATACTGTATAACAAGTGATCCCCTGCTCCCAAGTTCAGCAAGGTGCCAAGGTGTGTCCCAGAATATCCTCATTTATAATATCCCACATTTTTTTTCACTTCTCACAACCAAAGTGTTTGATTCCTGTCAACCTCAACAAATGAAAACCTCTCCAAGTCAAAACCTCCCTAAGTCGAATTTTTTTCCTGGTCCCTAGAAATTTGACTTTGAAAGGTTGCACTGTACTTTAAATTCCCAAGGGATATAGTGTACTGATTTGAAATTTTTTTTAAATATCATAAGATTTGATTTAAAAAAAGTGATGCTCGGCAAATTCAAAATTTTTTTCATCTTGACAAATTTTTGGCACACTGAAAAATGAGTGGAACAATCCAGCTGTAATGGAAAAGCTTTCAATCATCTTTTAATCATGTTTCAATTATGTCTTTTATAATCGTGAGGAAAATTTCATACTTTTCGATTTTTTATGCGTGTTGGAAATATTCAATCCCACGCATAACTGGGANGCAAATTCAAAATTTTTTTCATCTTGACAAATTTTTGGCACACTGAAAAATGAGTGGAACAATCCAGCTGTAATGGAAAAGCTTTCAATCATCTTTTAATCATGTTTCAATTATGTCTTTTATAATCGTGAGGAAAATTTCATACTTTTCGATTTTTTATGCGTGTTGGAAATATTCAATCCCACGCATAACTGGGAAAACCCCTTGTACTGTTTTCAGTTTACAATATAAGCAAAAATAAAAAACAAAAAACAGCGATGAAAATTTGCTTATATATTTGATACTCTTGATTCAAACATTGGAACTTCATAAATTCAAATGTTTTCCACAGAAATAAACAATCATGAGGCAGATCAGTGCCGGGGTGCTGTTGGCACTCTGTGGCATTGTGTCGTCGCAAAGTCTGGTTTGCTCGCCAGATGGCGCAGGTTCCTTGTATGACTTTTCAGCCCCTCTGTTGGATGGGTCTGGAACTGTTCAATTCTCTGACTATGATGGAAAGGTGAATACAGTAGTAGCGTGATTCGTTTTTGCGGTTTTAACACCTTGTGGATACCTCACACAGTAATTTCAAAATTTGAATCAAATTGAAAGTTTGCCTTTGAAGTCTATGCTTCTATTGTAAAAAAAAAAATTTGTCTTCGCTTTGAAACATAAAGTGCATTTAGGCTCACAACATTTTCTTCTGGGAAATTCCGGTGTTCCTGCTGCATAAGGTTTTAGTACTGTATTTTACTTTGTCAAATATTCCCCAAATTATGACTCATCCTGTTGTTTTTATACTGACACAATTGAAACCAATAAATGGCTAATACAGTAATATAGCTTCAGTTTTTTACCTCTGAAAAACAACTGACCAAAGAATCAAAATATTCCCCAAGTGACTCACCCATGAGTGTCTTGAATTTCGTAAAATTAAAAAAAATTGAATTTTGAAAATTTTGGAAGGGAACCGTGTGGTGATTGAGTAAATTCAGGAAAATTCTTTTTTGAAATTCCAATTTATACTGACGTATTTTTTATTCATTTTCATAGATCGCCCTTGTGGTGAATTTGGCCTCATTTTGAGGCCTGACCCCACATTACATTGGGCTAAATGTACTGCAAGAAACCTACGGGAACGATTTAGTCATCCTCGGCTTCCCGTGCAATCAATTTTCCTACGTAAGCTCATGTTTTTCTGTGTAATCTCATCCGTGCTGGAAAATGTCTCTTTAATGACGTTCAATGCTCCCACCTTTTTTGTTTGAAATGCAGCAAGAGCCTGGGGCGAATGCCACGGAAATCTACAATGCTCTTGAGTTCGTGAGGCCTGGGAATGGATTCGTCCCGAATTTCCAGCTCTTCAAGAAAATAGAAGTGAATGGTGCAAATGAAATACCTTTGTACACGTTCCTGAAGGTATGTACTTTTAGGAATATAGCCTCTGCAATAGTTTAGTACTTCTGAAGTGAGGGATTACATTTTGTGCTAATCTGTGGCAAAATCCGTTCCAAGATCACCCTCGTGCCTCTCTCTGCCAAAGTCGGAAATAAATTGAGTATTTTGTTTTGTTCGGCACTGTATATGTCATACGAGTACAGTACTGTATTTTTCTTATCTAGCTGTTCATCCCAGAATCATCCAAAGATTTCCTGAAAGCGAAGTAATGTTCGCGTAGCTTATTGCGATTGAAATCATTCCATTCCACATTTATTCTGGACCTCCCCATGATGTATGCGAATTCGAACGTCATCAGTTTCAAGACCTCGCTATTTTTGCAAAAATCAGAAAGAAATTGAGTCATAGAATTCCGTAAATATATTTTTTTCACACGGTAAATCCAGCTCATAGTCCAGATTTCCGGGAAACAGGTGGGTTTTTGCTGATTATTTGAATTGTTCAACAATTTTGAATCACTGTATGACATTGTACTCGGATCATGGAAACGATCAATTCCAAGACCTCACCAATTATTTTACTGTAAAATTCGAGAAGTTGTTGCTTCATCATGTGTTCGCATAAATGCTGAATTGTATTTCTTATGGCCATTTCATCGACGAGATGCTATAGATTTCCACGAACAGGTAATATTCATTTTTTATGATACAGTAATTTGAATCTTTCAAATTTTAGGACCATCCCAGGAAATCAATCGCATGCGCATTAAAAAAAAAAATCAGTTGTAAGGCCTCGCTATTTCTTTTATTGCAAAAATCGGGAAGAAATTCCCGATGCGTGGTGAGAATACATACACATGACATTAACGAGGACTACAGATTTCCTGAAACATACGTGATTTTCATTTTTATTTCAATTTGTATCTCTCCACATTTCTGAATAAATCCAGGAAATTATGTTCGAATATTGAACTTCCATCAGTTCTAAGGCATCAAATATCTTATTTTCACTGCAAAAATTAAGAAATTGCGTCTTATGTTCGCATAAATATGGAATTCTTACCTGTTTCATCCACTGATTCTAGCAGATTTCATGACAACACGCGGTTTTATTTTAAAATTATTTTAGTCAAAATGTCCATCGCCGGAGGAGAACTTCAGGGAAAAGCTCAGAATTGTGCACGATCCATTCAACAGCAGGGATATTCGTTGGAATTTTGAGAAATTCCTCATTGGTCGCGATGGTCAACCGTTCATGAGGTTTTCTCCACCAACCGTTCCTGAAGATATCGCACCTTTCATTGATGAGCTCTTATTGGCGGAAAGGCAGCCAGAAGAAATGCATTCTTCTCCTTTGAAACACTTGTGAAACTCGCGACTGAATTCCGGATGACGTAGATATTCTTCGGCTTAACTCGTACGTGTTTTGTCATTTTGGTACGAATTGAAAATGGGTGATGTTGTCGACAGAAACCACTCCAACAACTGCTGACTAAAACCTCCAAAGCTTCCTAGACTCGAAGAAAAAAGAGCGTCATGTAAATCTTCGAGCCTGAAAATTAAAGGCAACCAAAAAGTTAAGCATAATATACTATACTATTGGTGCGAGTATACCGCGGTTTCGAAGTTCGGAAATACAATCACTTTTGGTCTTAATTATTTTATTCAAGCGGGCCTTAAAGTTTGCGTTTATATATGCTGGGCGCGTGAAGTTTCTCAAAGTTTAGAATATTGAGACGCCAGCAAATTTTGAAACTTTGTGCGAATTTTCCGTATTAGAATAACTTAATTATTCCTCTCAGGTTTCGAGATGACAATGACTTGAATGATAGGAATTTTGAAGTTAAGAAATTATACTTATTTTGCACGTTTTGGTCATCATAGGGAGTGCCTTTGAATGTGGACAATTTTGAAGTTTTTAATCACGTATAGGAGGGAGTTTTATCATGCATAAAAAAATCGAACATGAAGTATATAGAATCCAAGTTTCGCAAGATTACGAAACCATGCAGCGCATTCGGAAAGTTGTACCTTCTCCCTCTTTATATCGTAAACAAAGAGGGGCAATGTAATAATTATTTTAGAATGCACAGATGTCGCTTGGATGTATATCATTAAATGGGCTGGTTCCTATAGCTGCCCACGGCTGTGTACTGCTTCTATAAATCGTGCACTGATTTCTGAACCCTTCTGGGAGCTAGTTGTAAGGAATAATTCTTTCTAGGGCTGAAATGCCCGAGAAATCCTTCTCCAATATATGTTTTCCTCGAGTTTTTGCATGCCCATATGCTGTAGGTTTGGGTTTAATTGAAATGCCGTTCCCCAATTTGGGATGGATTTTTTTTCCGTATGCAGTAAATTTGAATCCCAAAGATAGACTTTGCTGCAGTAAGGGTGGATTGCATTCCAAGTTTTGTAACGAAAGGAAAAATCTTGAATTTCTTCACCTCTCTATCATTTCTAAACTTATATCAATCTTCTTCGTCGCGATACCTTAGCAAGTAATTCACCGAAGATTTGGGTATCAAGTATTATAAAAATCAGTTATTTTCATGAAGTTTTCGTGTGCTCTCTACTTTTTCGACACTCGGAGGCCTGATATAGATACATAGAAAATCAGCCATAAAAGTGGAATATTCGTCAAGAGTGACGCTTATGTGCTTTCCTCCTTAATGCCAAAACTTACAATTTACGATGTATGAAAACTAACATTTATATTTAACTGTACTGAGAGCCTTTCTAGAGTTCCGGAAATTTCGCAGATATCAGAGAAAAAGGAATAGATACAATTCTGGACCACATTTTTGTACAAACTTTATCAACTATGCCGTTTCTTTTTAATCACTCCGCAACGCGTACGAATGCAATACAATACGCGATTACAAAAAAGACAAAACTATGAACGATAGGTTTTACTCTTTTACTCCAGATAAATTTTCATAAAAAATGCGCATATTTTTGGATGAGAGCATCAGTAGTAAGATCCCCGGACACTGAATGCACTAAAAGTGTCACGAGGCCAAACCACGATAACCCCCATGCATCAAATCACTCCTGTTCCGTTTTCGGTTTTGAGGACTGATCGTCACGAACAAAATTTGCGCAAAATCTTTTCGAAAATTTTTCCGGAATGAAACCGTGCTGGATCTTCTCGGTGTCTTGATTCTCTTAATTGACTTTTCATGGATCATTCAATGTACTTTAGTTCAATTCTGTATTTGCCGGGAAGCTATAGTAACTAACATAAATTGGACCATTCTTGAATTTTTCTCTGTTGTGGAAAAACATTTCCCGTAATTATTCGATATTCGTCCATCACTGTTATTTATCCGTGCAATAAAACGATTCTTCAGACCAAATAATTGATTTTTTGCTGTTCGTTGGAAGGGTATATAGATAGAGATAGACGTGCGCAATAAAACTCCTGCATACTGTCAATAACAAATATTTCGATGTTGGAAATATATGTGGAGTAGTATTTCTTCATACACAAACATCTTCAAGTCAAATTTTACGGGACTTAAAAAAAGCGAGACTTATAGAGACTTTTCAAGCTAGGTAATTTGGCTTTATTTTTGTTAGTCAATCGAAATTATTTTATGGTCAAATTATTACGATTCTTGATTTTCATAATGGCCTACCTGCAGAAAGTTCCCTATAATGACTCGTGGAGAGCAGAAAGAAAATAGTTTTCATCGGTTTTTGTTGTGTTATCTGGAGTAGATTGTTCTTAAATTTAGCCCCAATTTAATAACAGGAAGGTTTAACGAATTTTTCACTGAGGTAGGGTTGACCCAAAAAGTTTCCAGTCAGCAACGTTTAAATTTAATTGGACTGAAGGGAATTAGCCAGGAATTAACTGTGGATAAAAATCGGCGAAAAACTGAGACGTTTAAACTTTGCGAGGCTCAACTTCGCAGAAATCTTGCTGACTCGAAATTGTTTTTTTCTCCCTCTCTCAAGAGCACGATGCTTTCCTAATTTCGATGGGATACATTTTTCATTACAACACTTTATTTTCTGGGTTCCATCATGTGCTGCATGGCAATGAAATTTTACTGCCTATAAGAGCTGGTATTATTTTTGGAGAAACATGGTTTAAAAAAAAAGAAAGTTTCCATGGCAAAGGCAAGGATTAACGTCTTATCGGAATGGCCGAACGTTCTGCGCCGGAAGTTCCGAGTTGTTTCTGGTTCGTGACCATTTCGCGGATGAAGCTCATCATTTCCAGTGGGTTCGTTTTGGGCTCAAATCGCATGTAGGGTTGCCCAGATTGGTCAATCAGGAACTTCTCAAAATTCCACCGGATGTCGTTGTTGTGGAGTGGAGCGTACATCAGTCTTTCCTTTGTGGCGAAATCTTCTTTGGGAGACGGACACTTGCCCTTGAATAAATAATGGGAAACAGATGGGTTTAAAAGCAGTGTATACATAGAATCTCTTTGCAGTGAAACCCCCAGATGTGATATAATTGGTGCATCAAGAGTGTCCCTAAGTTGAGTCATGTTTTCCCATAGATTTATGTCATATAATTTTTAATTTGTGTTTTGTAGAAGAAATATTCCTCAGCATTTCCTGAAAAAAAATTGTTTGCCACTTGAATTTGAATTAGTGAATACATTTTC